CAAAAGTCTTTCTGAGAGCGGCCACGAATGCAGCGTAGTCGCTGCACTCCGGTGATTTGGAGTTGTAGAGCGCAGCAGCCCACTCTGCCGCGCGTCCGGAGAGCAGGGAGGTGAACTGTGCTACCCGAGAGCGCGCAGTGGGGAAGCGTCCTGGGTGGCACTCGAACTGCATGTCGAGGGTAGCTAGCAGACCGTCTGGACTCCCCGTCTCTCCGTTCCACTTCTCCGGGAGACTGAAGTGTGGCTCTCCCGTTGGTGGAGTGAGGGCTTGCAACTGGAGCGCATGAACCTGCTGCTGGAGAGCCGTGACGGCAGTAGACATCTGCAGGGAGAGATCGGTCTGGGAGTTACGCCTGGTGTTAAGCTGGTCGACCAGGGCGTGGAGCTGAACGTTCTCGCTAACAACCTGCTCCAACTTCCTCTTCATCTGCTCGAACTCCGCTGGATTAATGGACTGAGTCATCCTGTCAGACTCGAAGACTGGGTTCGGGAGTAAGAGCTTTTATTAGAGACTGCTGGCTGCAAGCGGTGCTGAAAAGGCTGACGGAAGGATGAGGTCTGAGTTAGAAAGGTGGAGGTTTAACTGTCTTAGCTTCTGAATACTCTGATCATGGAACACGGTGGAACGTGGAGGGAATCCCCGCGAGGGGCATGCTGGGTAATGGTCCGAGACAGAAGCCGGTCAGCTGGGAGAGCCCGGCCTGGGGGCTTGGACTCTGACACACTGTTGTTGCATGACTGACTCATGAAAAGGATTCAGGATTGTCCATAATAGTATTGATTTTATGAAGAATTCTTTGTTGCGCCATCATCTCCTGTGGTTCCACAGTAGTCCCAGAACCAGCCTTCTTTATGAGGTTGTTGTACCTTTGTAAGTCCCTGGTTCTGATGCTTCTGTCTGATGATGGTCAAATAAATTATACTGTCCTCAACAGACACATTGAAGACAAGAAGCAGTAGTAGATATGAGTGATGATCCGCAGATTTAAATGGTAAATGGTCTGTATTTGATATATTACCTTCTAGAGTCCTGGAACCCCCCAAGGCACTTTATAGCACAATCAGTTATTCGCCCATTCACGCACACTTTCATATGCTGGTGGGGACGAGCTACTTTGAAGCCACAGCTGCCCTGGGGTGCACTGACAGAGGCAAGGCTGCCGAGTACTGGTGCCACTGGTTCCTCCGACCACCTCCAGCAGGCAAGGGGGGTTAAGTGTCTTGCCGAAGGACACGACAGCAACAGACTGAGCAGGGCTCAAACCTGCAAGAGAGGTTAGAGGTTAGAGGTTTGGAAGGGAAGCAAAGCCCAACCAAATGTTCTGGACTCGAAAGGAACAGCATGTTTGCCAAACAGTCTGCTAGCTTAGCGCCATGCTGTTTGGTCAGTAGATAGTATCAGCTCTGGGTTTTAAGTCAGAACCAAGGCCCTCATTAATCAAACGTTCGTAGAAACTGTCCTATATTTCCTCCTATGACCGAAATGTGTGTACGAACAGTAAAAAGACTGGTTTAAGAAACATGCGGTGTCCTCTCCTGCGCACGTTCCTCCGCAATCGTCTGATGATAAATCCCACCTGTGCGTGCCCAGGTGCTCGTGTCCATTCGCCGTCATTTACATTCAGAAATGTCCTCAATCATGGACATAGTTTTTGGAGGGACATGTCCCCCTCCACTTTTTCCAAAGTAAATTTTTGTCACCTGCACATTTTACCATCCAAAAGCAATGTTGCTCTATATTAAATTGACCCTGGTTGAGCACTAGGTCCAAGCAGAAAACAACCGCTTGTGTTGAAGCCTGTTTCCCAGTAGAACTGTCCATGAGCTCATCTATTGGCTCTGTTGATACTTGCTAACGTGTGATTGGCCGTTCCTGCCACCTGTGTGGTACAGTTCTGCATTCCTGACATTGCATAAAAGAGCCTAGGCTGTAGTTTTATACATATCATTTGTATACTTACTGTAAAGATTTTTGACCTCAAAAGAGCATGACCTAGACTATTGCTTTTTAAGAACAACAGTGGTCCTATTTTGGACAGAAAGTTATTGTTTCATGCATTTATTGTGTCTGTTTTATTGTACAGCACTTCAGTCAGCTGTCACCCTGTGTTTTAAAGTGCTTTAGAAATAAATTTGTATGGCATGGTAACTCTAACCCCTAGCTTTTTCCCACTGAGAGGGCTTCACGCTCTCCAGCCTTGTCACTGATAGGCTCCCAAATATGACCATGATTAAGTTGGTGAACTAAACTGATTTGTATAGAAAACCAGAGAAAATTAGCCTTGTGAACTAGACCAAATTCTTGCTTTACAAAGTTTTAAATAATACATTTATTTAGTCTGGCTTGCCAGGCTAAGAGAAAATGGTACAGAAATCAAAAATGCATGGACCGCCTGAAGCTAACCCCCATGGCCATCAGTCAAAGGGCCCTGCATCTCCTCACACATTATTTTTATACCCTAAGCTAGGCCCCACCCACTTAGTCCAATGGTTTCCCATCAATGGGCCAGTTTTATGTGTAAGACTGATTGTAGCCAATCCCATCCTAAATGAGAAGATGTGAATTACGTTGGGTGTTTGTGCCTAAATGACAATGATTAAACAAATGATTGCGACCTCATTACATAAAGGACCGTCTGTCCTTGTGATCTGATAAGCTGTTTTTTTGAGGCCACTACTCATCCCAAAACAACTTTGTACGGTGTGGATTAATTCAACTCACCTGAATGTAGTTGCGTTTCTCTGCCAGCTCCGTGACAGAAAGCCAGTGCACCCCTCATAGGCGTGCTTGGGGGGTGGGGGAGGATCTTTACTCCACACAAAACTAACATGAGGTGATCAGTCAACAGCTCCAGGTGATCTATACGTTGCACAAAAACACAACTCAGCAGATAAATTGTGCTGTTGGTGGACATTTAGCTCCGTTTTATGGCTTTTTGTCAGACGGAACCAGCAAATGGCTTCAGGCAGAAAACTCCAGAACAACCAACGACTCTGCTCCCTAGCCAGTCAGCAGCCACAGTTGCGATACTGGTCCGACTCAGCCTTACCAGGAATCTCAATGGAGTAGGGACTAAAAATTGGGAAAAAGTAGAGGGAAAATACCAAACCATGCTCTTGGAAAAGGTGGTCGGGCTGAGCTGCACTAATCCGAGTTACTCTGAGCAGAGCTCTTTAAAAAAGCAGCAACAGAGAGCTGAGTGAAGCCAAGTGAAGTGACCCAGACAAGCATTCTGAGATCACACTAATTATATGATGGTGGCTAAGTATTAATTACCTGCTCTGTAACCAGAAGGTTTAAGGTCCGAGCCCCATCTGTCGCAGTCGTGTCCTTGGGCGAGACACGTAACCCACCTTGCCTACTGGTGGTGGTTGGAGGGACCAGTGGAGCCAGTGCTCTGCAGCCATGTCTCTGTGAGCGTGCCTCAGGACAGCTGTGGCTGCAATGTAGCTCATCAACATCAGTCTGTGAATGCGAGTGTTGTGTTGTGTCGTGTTGTAAAGTTTCTTGGGGTACTAATAGAACCCTACACTAATAATTAGTGGGCGATGGTGGCACAGGAGTTAAGTGCTCGCCCCGTAATCGGAAGGTTGCAGGTTCAAGCCCCGCTCAGTCTGTCGCTGTCGTTGTGTCCTTGGGCAAGACACTTAACCCAAATTGCCTGCTGGTTGTGGTCGGAGGGGTCGGTGGCGCCAGTACTCGGCAGCCTCGCCTCTGTCCGTGCGCCCCAGGGCAGCTGTGGCTACATCGTAGCTCATCCCCACCAGTGTGTGAATGGGTGAATGACTGATTGTGTTGTAAAGCACCTTGGGAGGTTCCAGGACTCTGGAAGGCGCCATATCAAATACAGACCATTTACCATTTACTATACCACTCAACACAATTAAAAGCTTAACTTTGTTGACAAAACCAACAACAGAGAAGATGTGAGGTTTCAACTTTCCAGTGCTGACAATGCAGCTTTGAGGTCAACAACCACACAGATTCACAACAGTTAGTCTTTTTGTGCATGTGGGCTAGGGTTCGGGTAAACATCTCATATGCAGGCAATGATAACAGAGACCCTAACGATCCCCAACAGCTGTGTGTGTGTGTGTGTGTGTGGGGGGGGGGGGACTTGTGAATAAAGCCGGGCGGACACTGTGTGACTTTTTCACTTTTTTGAGCCGATTTTCCACTCATGCGAGAATCCACAAGATTGGGGCGAGTTTTGCGCTGAGCGTCTTGTAGTGTACAGGGGGTTACGAGAGGCAATTAACACCACGTGACCAGCTACCAATCAGCAAGCTTGAGCTCGCACGGACTTCTGGCGTGTTTGATATTTTGCTCGTCCCTCGTGAGGGTATCGCACTGTTGAAGCGGCGCTGCGAGCAGCTGCGACCCAAAAAGTATCACAACCGCTCACGGCGCATGCGCAATCGTGCATCAACACTGCTCGCCCGCTCTTTCCCTAATGACACATGTTGTTCGTTTTTGTTTCTACACGTTTTTTTACTCACAAGGATTGTCAAGAAAGCATGTTTGTCGTGTTCATGTCAAATTAAACTGATCACTAAACACAGATTTACTTTCTTTATTTCGTTTTCCTCATCCAACCCCCATGAATCCCTGTGTGTCCTCCTGCAGCACTCCCGAAGGACAACAGGCAAGACAAAAAAGTCTGATGTGTTGTGTAAAAACAGCTAGTTTTTAGCATATTTTTAGGTCCGACGTGTTGCTACCAGACGTACAATGTGAGCAGTCAGGTCGCATGCGAGAACTGGATCGTACAGTGTGAGCGCCTGACTCATGAGATCTGCCCTGCGAGGAAGTTGTAGGGTTTGAGCTGAAGCTGCGTGCTACGAGTGAAAAAGTCGCACAGTGTCCGCCCAGCTTAAGCCTTCTTTAATGGAGAACTGACTATAGTTTGAAAGCGTGGTTCTTTTGAGCTGAAGGAGAATGCATCATCGTATGCATTCACAATGAGTATATTGTCACAATGTATGTTTTCTTTGCCCAGGTAATGCAGAGCCAAACAACCAATCCTGGAGATGCCGAAGAGAAGAGATATTCTTGCCATCGTATTGATTGTGTTACCCTGGACTCTGCTCATCACTGTTTGGCACCAAAGCGCTATAGCTCCACTCCTCGCTATCCGCAAGGGTACGAAATGCACCTCACTCCACACAGTCATATCAGACCTGAAGTGGGTCCTTGAACCTAACACTGCACTTCACTTTTAGACAACAGGCTGCTCATGTAGAGACTCTCAGCAGCCGTGACCATAAACTTGATCACAACTCCATACCTCTCATCCTATAACTAAAAACCTCATTCCACTGGATGGCATGAGGAAGACTTAAGTCTAGTTTATACTTCTCCATCAGCAGGGCGCTGAGACACACTCACATATCGATGGAGATGTTTTCTTTCAGACTTTTCCATTTTCTGGGGAATCCGACTACTCCACCTCTTCATGCTGTCGGCCACCTCCAAACCCATGTTTCCCCCATTTTCCTCCACAAATCAGTCTGCTGCACATCTTTGTATTCCTTCAGTGAGGGGTTGTAGACAGGTTCATGTTGTCAAGACTTCTTCCATAAGACGTTCTTCAATGCTGCTAGATATCTTCAACACATGTTTTTTCTTTGGAAATGGCGGTGTTGTTGACAAACTTAAAGGAAGTGGTATTCTAACCAATCTCAGGCTTGTACTCTCTCTAGTATTTGAAGGACATTTAAAAAATTGGACATGTGTCTTTCACCCTCTGTGGGCCTGCAGCAGTGTTGACAGATTATGGCGTTGCACTTCTTGACACCCCCTTTAATGAAAATGCATAAACTAGTCTTTAAAGTCACTAACACACGAAAACCACACACACACATGCAGCCCTGCCCATCTAGGGGGAAAAAATGTGTCCACACCACTATGTTTTCAGCAAAAAGTCCAGAGCATTGTGACGCTCATACATTGTTATGCCAAGCCTGTATGGTGGCCGTAGCTCCTTGGAATAACAAGGTGGCATCCTTAACCTAATCATTTGCCTGTGGTCTTCTAGAGCAGTTATTGAGCTTGGAAATATAAGAAAGCATAGCAGACATGATGTCAGAACACTTATGTCATGGGCAGTGATGCCAAAAAACCTAAAACCCTGGTTAGTGACGTCCACAAGCAAATGCTGACAACGGAGAGCTTGCAAATCTTCACTTTGGTCAGTTTTTTTGCAAGATTCGTTTTTGGTGTTGGTAATCTTCACTTTTGTGTGGATAACAGGCCTTAACCACAGAAAAATATTTTAATTTTGTGGGACGCCCAGCTGGCTATGAGTGCACATGGTTGGAGTTTCATATATAGCTCATCTAATCTGTTAGTAAATTTCTATCAATAACAGCTAACAACACAAAAGCATCTCAAATACTCAGCCACCCTCATGCATAAAATCTATAAATAACATGAGACCTCTCATCCTTGTCTGAAAGCCTGTTTGCGCTCCAGCATGGAGTCATTAATACACACAGAGTCTCCCCAGCCATCCTCTGAGACCACAAACCCACTGTATAAAATGTCAAGTACGCTGCAGAGTAAACATCCAAATTAGAGCGTCTCAAATCAGCGAGGCTGTTTGTGCCGCTCTCGTGGCATCACAAGGGCACGTTTGGGGATAAACAAACAAACTGGACTTATTCAAATGATCCAAAACATGTCGCACGGAGATATTTACACATTGTTTGAAGTCATTAGTTTGTGCAGGTTTACTAAAAGCATCCAGTCTGCAGTCTGCTTAGCCGTCTGTGGCGAAACGACGACGATTAAAAAAGTAAAGAATTTCTCCTAAAATATGAGTTGTGAATAGCTGAGTTATGTTACCATCTCATGGGATCTAACAAAGACACAAGAGGAAAATCACTTAAAGTATAGTTTTTTTATGCTGTGCTATCTGCCCACAGGCCTCCTCTTGTGTGCTTCTGCTGGAGATTTTTCTGGCAGCGGGCTCCTTGGCAGCCTCTCCTGAACATCTGGCTATCAGCACTTTGTGTTAATCTTTGTGTGGCAGAAAATTCCTCTTTTCATATTGAGGTGTGAATAGAGCCCGAGCCGAGTGGTGACAAAGACCGCCATTAGCTTGTGGCACAATGAAACGAAATGAACCACCTTGAATATTCTATAACCACACACCATCCATCATGGCTAGACTATTCAGGTCAAACCACGCCGGCATTTACAGCTGCAGTCCGCCCAAGGTGATGGATTCATCGCTTTTTTTACACGAGAAGTGATTTTTTTTAAATGAGACATAATTTCTCACACAAAGACACAAAGAAATTTAGGGTGAGACTTTTTTTTAGATACATACATATAGAGCTGTTTTTAAACAGAGTTAGGACTGGATTAGACGCAAAAACAGCTCACTTGAAAATATTTACACTCAACATGAGTCGTCAACTTTCTTTCACACATAACGGCATATTGGGCCACTGAGCATTTCACTAAGTACAAAAATGAGCCTTTCTCTGAACAGCGGGGCAGTTTTTTAGCTATGTCCACTTTATTCATGTCCCATTTATTAAATAGCTCAGATAATAGCCTAATGGCTAATTATTATTGTCCTCAACTACTTTCATAATGTTTGGATATTTTGAGATATGTGTGAATGTTTAAGACTTTCATTGTTCTGCTGTGGAAGCTGCAGCAGAAGTAGCCAAAACCTGCAACTTAAAGAGCAAGTCACCCCTACCAGAGTCTTACTCCACTCCCACTTCCTGTTTGAAAAATTAAACAAATGTTGTTGTCTGGCAGGCCAAGAGGGCAGAGCCACGAACAAACACACACACACACACACACACACACACACACACACACACACACACACACACACACACACACACACACACATACACATAGTGTACTGCAGAGTTTTTACCTGAACAGACAGACAGACAGTTTTAGGCAAAATATTACAATTTTAACTGAGATGCACTAAAGTGCCAGATGATTAACTACACGTCTACAGAACGATTAGACACTCATTTATATAGTTGTTTCAGCAAAAAAAACGTTGATTTGGGGGTGACTTGCTTTTTAAGTTCAAGTCTAATTCTTGTTTTATTACACTGTAAAAAACAAACGTACAACCTTCAATTACAATAATTAAAACAACAACTAAAGTTGGGTTCAGAAGAGAAATTGAATTTGATTGTTTGGGGTACACTTACAATAACCAGCTTTCACACTTGGTACATTCTCCTTTTTTGTTTGCGTTATCGTTTAATTTATGTTCTCTGATAAAGCCTTGTTCAACTGAGAAGCAGAATGTTAAAATCTTTGCTAGTATTATCACTTTATCTTAGTGAAAAAAATGACCTATGAATGAGTCAGTGATTTTAGACGAGTCAGAATGCTTCCACACATATTTTACAGTGTGTTCTAGAAAAGGAGGGGTAAAGACAACAGATAGGGGAGTCTGTGGTGGAGTCTGGACAAAAAAAGGTCTTTTGAGTCCACATACACGTCTATTTTCCTTTTGAAATAAAAAGGAAATCCCAAAGGTGATGCTTTGGGAATAGCCGGACTCATCTTTCCCTTCTCTCGTGTCGCACTGTCTCCCTGTCCGTCAGCTGTGTTGTCCTCTCACGGTGCCTGCTTTCACTTTTCGCAGCCTGTCACCACCTAGTAAAAGAGATCTTTATCATTCCAGAGAGGTTCGCAGTCCACCACCACCGACTCTCAGGTACACTTTACCCCCACTGGGTCTAAGTCACCTGAGGCAAATTTACAAAGAGCAGCTCAAGGTTGCGCTAATGCCTTAAATGCCCTCTTATCCCCATATCTGCAGATGAAGGTGCCGAGGGCAAGAGGGAGGCTGGTGGCCAGGACTCAAAAGAATACTGTGCCTCGGATAAGGACATTGTGGAGGTGGTGAGGACCGAGTATGTGTACACGCGGCCTCCACCCTGGTCCGACGTGCTCCCAACAATCCACATCATCACTCCCACATACAGTCGACCCGTGCAGAAGGCCGAGCTGACGAGGCTTGCAAATACTTTCCTCCATGTCCCCAACCTTCACTGGATCCTGGTAGAAGACTCACAACGAAGGACGCCCCTTGTCACGCGACTCCTCCGGGAGACGGGGCTAAACTACACACACCTAAACGTGGAGACACCCAGGAACTACAAGCTGAGAGGGGACACCCGTGACCCCAGAATCCCGCGAGGGACCATGCAGAGGAATCTGGCCCTGAGGTGGTTAAGGGAAACCTTCAACCCCAACAGCAGCCAAGCTGGAATCGTCTACTTTGCCGATGATGACAACACATACAGCCTGGAGCTGTTTGAGGAGGTGAGTGCTGGGAGGCGTAATAAAACATGGCTGATTTGGATACAGCATGAAATAGAATCTGAACACATTGTTAAAGGGACTTTACGGAGTTTTGAATTTTTATGCTCGCGATTGCCCCCTCAGACCAAAAGCGTAAGGGCAGCTTCAATAGTAGGCTCGTGCACGAGGCACGCATGCTGTACGTGCACACTCCTTAACGAAAATAACAGCTGAGACAATCCCTTGTGTGTGTGTGTGTGTGTGTGTGTGTGTGTGTGTGTGTGTGTGTGTGTGTGTGTGTGTGTGTGTGTGTGTGTGTGTGTGTGTGTGTGTGTGTGTGTGTGTGTGGCCCGGAGGACAGAGAACAGAACGTGCAGCTAATTAATTAAATAATTTGGTTCTGTACCTTTCTCTTCAGCACAGCCGACAAAGGTTTAAGATGGGTCAGTCCTCCTGCATGCTCAGATCATTCCCTTCCCTTGCTTGAAAAATTGTTCCAAAATGAAAGTTGAACCCACATCTTTTTTTTCTGTGAATTCAATGCCGTTCGGCGAGTCTCAAATAAAAATTTGGGCATCTTATTGTTAAAAAAATATATCATTAATGTAAAAAAGAAACTCTAAAAAAACTTTGTGTTCATCCAGAATCAAACCCAGGTCTCCTGCATGAGAGGCAGACATCTTACTAGGTGAGCTAAAGCACCAGTAACATTCAAAGCATCTGTAACTTTTATATCCTTGATGACACCTGAAACAACGTCAAACCAAAGAACGGTTCGGAGCGAAAATGGCTATTTTGTTGCTAATTTGCAGGAAATATCTTGAAGAAAGTTCTACAGAAAGTAGCAAAGGGTCCTCAGAAATGTAGCTAGGTTCATCACTAGGCGTTAGGAACAGCGACAAAGTCGCTGAGTTGGCACCATCGACTACCTCACTCTCTGCTGCTAAAGCTATGGATAGCAAATGCTACGGGCGATGCCTGAGCGTGAACGCGCATGAAGCAGCCTGCTCGACCCAAGCATCTCTCTTTTTCTGTGATTTTACAGAAAAACTGGCAATCGCAGTAAAAATGCCAGGGCTCATTCTACAGGACCAGGGCATTGCAGGAGAATGTATGAAGAAGAAATGTATTATTTCTGTACGTTTTGGCGGTCAAACTTCCATAATGCCCCTTAAAGTATTTTATAATTTTCATTCTAAGACTAAACGCTGATTTATACTTCTCTGTCAGCTCGAGGGTGGAGTTGTGCGGAGAGGTTTTCCATTTGGACGTTTCCATCAGCTGGGAAGTGTTGCAAAGCAATTCTCCATCAGGGCAACAGAGGGTGTAGCACTTTCTGAGGGTCTCCTGTCACCACGGCCATGTTTGTGGTCCACGATAGTGCATTTACTATTGTGTTTATATGTATTTCAGAGACTTTTTAACATGGATAAAGGTGTCTTCGTTCTTCTCCACCTTGTCCTGCGGTCACCACCTCTAAACCCATGTTTCCCATCACTTCCGTCCACGAATAAAACACTTGCTACAAGTCTTTGTACTCCTTCCTTCACGGATGATATGATATGATAAATGACACACACTTGTATATCGCCTTTCAGAGTCAGAGGACACCAAAGCGCTTTACATTACAGTATATAACTCATCCATTCACACACACATTCACACACTGGTGGTGATGAGCTATGATGTAGCCACAGCTGCCCTGGGGCGCACTGACAGAGGCGTAGCTGTCGAGCACTGGTGCCACTGGTCCCTCCGACCACCACCAGCAGGCAAGGTGAGTTAAATGAAGCAGAATTCGCTGTCCGGAGCCGGGATCGAACCTGCAACCTTCTGACTGCTGGACAACCCACTCAACCTCCTGAGTTACTGCTACCCATAACGATGATTAAACGTCAGTAATTTCTGACTTTTTTGCGAGAAGTTCTAAAAATTGTTCGGTGTCCACTCAATATCTTCGGCTCCATATATTTTTTTAGGGGCAATGACTGTGCTGTCAACCAACTTAAAGGAAGTGGCGTTCTGACCAATCAGAAGCTTGTGGTCTCCATTACTGTTGATGGATAGTTAAAAAGTTGGGCCTACCTCCGTCGGCCACTGCGAGCCTGTTGGAAAGCCCTTGCGCTGACACATGATGGCGTTGCGTGTCTCTGTACCCACGCAGATGGAGAAGTACAAATCAGGCTTTAAGTACAAGAACAACCAGGAGCCTAAATGGTGATCTGCCTCAATCATCATCAGACAAGTTCAGCTGGTCACCACAGTTCAGATGACACAGATTGTTTCACTAACCCTGATAGACTAGTGGTGGTGCGCAGGAGCTTTGGCATGGATCTGCTGGGTTCCTGAAGAACTGCTTTGAGAAGGGAGGTGTCGTGCAGCTGTCCATCAAACTGGAACCATTGTGTTTTCACGAGGGACCCACTCTGCTGTCAGCTGCACCAATCCTTGCACAGATCCCACCTTCACGGCCCTGTGGGGTAAAACCTCTATTTTTATCAGACATTTTCTCCACTATTAACAAGCGCAGTTGGGAAGAGCAGAGAGATGTTTGCACATGTAATCCGTACAATTCAGGCCATCCATCTTGACATGAGTGGAATTACCTCAGCAGATACGATCCAGGTCCTCCAATCTGCCCTGTGTCTTGTTAGCGGCGCACACAGAGTTTGTGGCAAAGAGAGCGCCCGATATTGACGAGGCCTGTCATTACCTTTTGCTGGGAATTGGCCAAAGTGCTCCATCTCCCTCTGAGGCTCTCCATCACCTCCACTGTGCCTATTAATGGACAAGGCTAACGGGCCTGAGGGGCAGAGAGAGTCGGCGAGGTAGAGACAGAAAAGAGAAAAATAGAGTTATAGCTCGATAGACGGAAAGTTGTCTCACACTACTGTCCAGTTCACCAGAACAAGAGCAGCTGTCAGTAAACAGGCTGTGGGTTTGGTGCATGGGGATGGTGACTCAGTGAGGATAAAAACAAACATGGAAAATCAGGAAAATCACCTTGCAAGCTAGCTGTATCAGTGGGCCTTTCACTTACTCTTTATCATCCTAAACCAAAGCAACGGTTCGAGCCTGTCAGGGTCCAAGTCAGCAGCAGCTCATGTTGGGTTGTGACAAGCTGAACTCCAGTAAAAATCTGCCGCAAACACCTCCACATTTGAAAGCTTTGTAAGCTACCAGTTTGCGCTGATAATAATTAAAAAGCTTCACTGTCTTACTGGCAGCTGTAGCTGGATTTGACAGCAATCAAAAATGGCTGTTTTTGTTCACTAGGCTGATGATTGGTTTTCTGGTGACAGGTGACAACTCACTCCATCCCACCAAGAATTTTCAGATATTTTCAGTGAAAGCCTTGCTGGGTGGTACTACTACATAAATCACTTTTAAATTTTCTTAGAAAACCAGGATAATCCTTTTCTTTGTACCGTCGCATCACTTTGTAAATAAGATGCTCGGTGGAAATAAGAACTGGAAAGAAAATCTAGAACTAAAAGTGTTTTTTTTAATGGTTCATAATTCCTGAAGACTGAAGATCCCTATCCAGCATGTCTAAGAAGTTTCCCTGTTTCAACACATCTCATTTGAATCAGTGGTGATTCTGCAGAGCCTGAGTAGCTGATTTAGCCACTGAATCTGCAGGGTGAGATATAAAACAAGCTGAATAGGGGATCTTGAGGACCAGGATTGGGCACACCTGGTCTACTGAGTGCATCAAAAACAGCAGAATTCATCCATCCATTGTCTGAAGCCACTTTGTCCACGCAGGGTCGCGGAGGGGGCTGGTGCCTATCCTCAGCAGTCAATGGGGGCGGGGTACACCCAGGACAGAGAGCCAGTCCATTGCAGGGCAACAGAGAGACACACAGGGCAATCATGCACACACACACTCACACCTAAGGACAATTTAGACAGACCAATCAACCTAACAGTCATGTTTTTGGACTGCGGGAAGAAGCCGAGTACCCGGAGAGAACCCATGCATGCACAGGGAGAACATGCAAACGCCATGCAAAAAGATCCCAGGCCGGGAAGCGAACCCAGGACCTTCTTGCTGCAAGGCAACAGCTCTAACCACTGCACCGCCACAGAATTCATTATGATAATAAAATATTTTCTAATTAATTTCATAATTCCAGTTCAGACTCTCGCATCTGGCTTTAAACCCACGTGGCATTAAAAGGACATCTTCCCAGCTAAAATCAGAATGATGTTCATTGTGCCACAGTTAACTGATTAGAATAAACAGTTTCTTCTAGTAGGCACTGATTTTAGTAAGAGAAATTTGTTTAAATCTCTTTTACCTGCCAAAAGTTTCAACTTCTCGGCTGAAGCTTTCTTCATGGGCTGTCATCAGGTGGATTGCTTAAGTGGCCTATAGCCGGTATTCATCAATCATGTGATGGGCTGGAACCACACACAGATCATAGGAAAAGAAAGTGACTGCTGCAAAAGATGGATACGAGAATCTATATAAATCAGGACTCATGACAGATCAACCATCAACAAGGAGGAAGCAGCATACAGGCTCTTGAGAAACTGGGATGCACTCCGCATCACCACCACACTGCATGTGGGAGTCCCCGTCGACACGACATCTCCACACGACACGCTCCAGGAATACCGGATATAGGCCACGTCAGCAGTCCACCATGAAGAAGGCTTCAGCCGAGAAGCCAAAACTGTTGGAGAATTATACAAATTATTCTTACTAATATCTGTGCCTACTAGAAGAAACTAGGGGTTGTATGAACTAGTCGACTTTACGGCTCTGTAGTGACTTTTTATGCCTGTCATCGACTAGTCGCTGTCACGTGATAATGAATGACAAGATGCAGTCCTCCAGCAGGTGATGAGCCCCTGCGTCGGGAGGCGGAGGCGGCGCGCTGTGCCAGAGCGTCGGTACTGACACCGGCGGTAAAACATACATTTAACCAAACTGTGACCTTTTCCCTCTTGCAATTTTACCTTCCCCTCACCCCCATCCTAATCTTAACCAGTTTGCGCATGCAAAGCTCTGATCGTTGACGCGCTCCAGACATCTGTGTCCTGAGCACGGCCAAATCAGGTGTCACCACCTCAAAAACAAATTAAACACGCGATCGTTCATGTCGGCTCATTTCCTTTCATGTTTTCTGTCTGTTATTTGTGCCTGATGCATTTCGCTGCTGCGGAGCGAGGCGCGTTACCTGTTTTGTTCTCCGGTGACGCACCCCCAAAATTCCACTATCTCCGCTCCGGCACGAACTCCGCAGCAAAAACGGTCCCGTTGTAGTCGGCCGGCGAGCAGCGGCACTCCGCTGTTTTTGCGGTCGGAAGATCTTTTAGAACTGCAGTTCAAAGGTAACTCATGAGGTGAATATAAATGAACGCAGGTAGCAGTTTTTCTTTAGGATTGAGAGGAGATGCAGGAAGATAATAAACAGACAGGACAGAAAAATAGTCAAATAAAAACAAGTTACTTTTTGTACCTGGTGGTTGCAACAAACAGACACCACTGAAGGTAATCAGAAGTGAGGAACAGAAAATGAAATAATTATTTTAATGTTTAGAGCAGCAGGAAAGGCTGCAGGCGCGTCAGTGAGTTTGCGGCCGCTGCGCAAGGGGAGGTGGGAGAGGGCTGAAGTAGGATGCAGAAACTACCGTTATTAAAAGAGATGTGGTAGCTTAGAAAACGTGGGCGCAATTTTAACTGTCAAAAACTCCAGCGAACACCCCCCCCCCCCCCCCCCCCCCCCGTGCCGCTTCAGGTGTATGACGTCATCAGCGACTAGTCGAAGTCGACTCGATTTTCATTACTTGACTGTCGACTTTAAAAAAAATCAAGTCATGCAACCCCTAGAAGAAACGTTCTTTTTCTGATTCCTAACAAGCAGACCCTTTGTTGCAGTTGGCAAAAATATCATTTTATGGAAATGACATCACATATCTGTCGTTTCTGATGCAGCTTATGGTGCAGCAGAGGAAAACCAGCTGACTTCAAGACACGTCAATCCCTTAGTCTAACATCAAACGTCCGCACAAAAAATGTTTTATTATGTACATTGTTTTTAGGTCAGCCCTGAATGAAAACTGATGAAAACGTCATGAAAAATGTATTTTCCAGTTAGAAGTCTGCAAAAAGCTACTTTAATTAGCCAGCCTACATTAGAAATGTTAGAAACTTCTCCCAGTAAAATAAAACAATCCTATTTAGTGTTCAGTGTGCTATTTTAAAACTCTCTCTTCTAATCCAACACGAACAAGTGATAACTAATATACACTTTCATCCTGTTTCAGTTAAATTATATAAACCAGGTGAAGCTAATGGCAGAGACTCAGTTCTTGTGTAAAACACTGATCACTTAACCTTCTTATTATGTTACGGGTCAATTTGACCCGTTCCAGTTTTTGTGTTGACCATAGCGCTGATCATCTTCTATTTTTCTTAATGAAACTTTATGACTTTTTCTTATCTGGGGTCATGAACTGGTATGAGAAACATGGACACTTTGATGTGTCCTGGGAAGTCTTAGCAGTTTTTGTATACAAAAATGATGTTGCGGGTCATTTTGACCCACACACTTTAATGTGAGTAAAAAGCTGTTCAGAACAAAAATAAACATGACTCTTTGATGTGCTATGTTGTGATTGCTTCTGAATATACATTCACACCCAGAGGCCCAGGTGTGTGCGCGAGAAACTTTTTCTGCCCTGTTCTTGTAACTGATGTCATGTGATTTCAACACACCAAAAATGAGCTCTAGAAGGTTGACAGCTGAAGAAGCTTTATCTCAGCTTTTTAACTGGGATAGCAATGACGAAGAAGATGTTTCAGAGACAGAGGATTTTTCAGAGGCTGAGGACAATGTTACTGATGATCCAGACTACCAATTTTCTGATGAGGATTCTAAAGAGGAGTCTTCTGTCATCGCTTCATCAAGTGAAAACCAAGGAATGCAGCAATCATCATCTACAGAGGGGGCATGGACATCTAAAGATGGTAAAATAAAATGGTCAACATCACCACACCGAAGTCGAGGCAGACTGTCATCTGCTAATGTCATCAAAATGACACTTGGTCCTACAAGATTTGCAGTCACACGAGTTGATAATATCCATTCAGCATTTCATCTCTTCATACCCTCTCCAATAGAAAAGATTATACTGGACATGACTAACTTGGAGGGGAGGCGTGTATTTCAACAGAAATGGAAGCCCATGGATCTGACTGACTTGCATGCTTATATTGGAATCCTGGTATTAGCTGGAGTATACAGGTCAAAGGGAGAAGCAAATGCAAGTCTATGGAATGAAGAGAATGGAAGGCCGATCTTTCGTGCAACAATGTCTCTTGAGACATTTCACAAGATATCTCGTGTGATCCGATTTGACAACCGTGAAACCAGAGCCAGTCGCTGTGAAAGAGACAAACTTGCTGCAATCAGAGATGTATGGGATAAATGGGTGGAGATTCTACCTTTGTTGTACAACCCTGGTCCCCATGTGACTGTAGATGAGCGCCTTGTTCCATTCAGGGGCCGCTGTCCTTTCCGACAGTATATGCCCAACAAGCCGGCCAAGTATGGCATCAAAATATGGGCAGCTTGTGATGCTAAATCTAGCTATGCATGGAATATGCAGGTGTACACCGGAAAGCTACCTGGAGAGGCATCTGAGAAGAATCAGGGGATGCGTGTGGTGCTGCAGATGAGTGAAGGGCTGCAAGGGCATAACATCACCTGTGACAACTTCTTTACATCCTACTGGCTTGGAGATGAACTTCAGAAAAGAAAGCTCACTATGTTGGGAACAATCAGGAAAAATAAACCAGAACTTCCCAGTGAAATTCTGAAGATGCAGGGAAGACCTCCACATTCCTCAAAATTTGTTTTCACCGAGAAAGCAACAGTTGTTTCATACTGCCCAAAGAAAAACAAAAATGTTCTTGTCATGAGCACAATGCACACAGATGCATCTCTGAGCACAAGAGAAGACAAAAAACCACAAATGATCCTGGACTACAACTCCACCAAAGGAGGCGTAGACAATCTTGACAAAGTCACAGCAACATACAGCTGCCAGCGCAAAACAGCTCGTTGGCCCTTGGTGATTTTCTACAACATTGTGGATGTGTCAGCTTACAGTGCCTTTGTCCTGTGGACTGAAATCAACCAACATTGGAATGTCGGCAAACTGTACCGACGTCGGCTTTTCCTGGAAGAACTGGGAAAAAGTCTTGTCACCCCCGAGATCCAGAGGCGAGCCAGACCAGCTCGATCCCCAGCAGCAGCAGCTCTCATTGAAAACGTCAGGTCTGCATCATCTGACCAATGTACAATGAATCCAGTGGATACAGGTGCAAAGAAACGAAAAAGATGCCAGGTCTGTCCCTCACGATAAGACATTAAAACAAGCACCGTTTGTGAGAAGTGCAAGAAGTGCATTTGCAGAAAGCACACAGTTACACTCTGTCCATCATGTGGACAACACTGAAAATGTTGAACATTGAAAATCTGAGAAAAATAAAAGTGTTTGTAAAGAAGGAAAACTTTTACTAACTAGTTCTTACAAATAGTTCTGGATATTCAAACTTTATTGTGTGTCTGTGTTTTAAATGTTTTTTCTAATGGAAAATAAAGTTCCTGTTTTATTGCAGTTTTTTTTACAGTTCTAAGTGAATTTAGACAGGGTGGGTCAAAATGACCCGCAACATAACCAATGTGATTTTTTTTCAACATAATACAAGAGTAGCACTTTCATTTAGGGTCATTTAATATTTCACAGATATTCTAAAACTAACCAAAGACGAGTTGTCTGAATTAATTTTATGTTCACCTTATTGTGATGTCATGCAATAACATTTGAACAGTCAGACTTCTAATACACACTTACTGGTCACTTTATTGGGTACACCTAGAGTTGGACCACCTTTTGCCTTCAGAGCTGCCGTAATCCTTCGTAGCATAGATTTAACAAGGCGCTGGAAACTTTCCTCAGAGATTTTGGTCCATATTGACATGATAGCATCACACAGTTGCTGCAGATTTGTCAGATGAACATCCATGATGCAAATCTCCCGTTCCACCACGTTCCAAAGGTGCTCTGTTGGATTGAGATCTGGTGACTGTGGAGACCATCTGAGTACAGTGAACTCATTGTCATGTTCAAGAAACCAGTCTGAGATGATTCCAGCTTTATGACATGGTGCATTATCCTGCTGGAAGTAGCCATCAGAAGATGGTACACTGTGGTCATGAAGGGATGGACATGGTCAGCAACAATGCTCGGGTGGGCTGTGGTGTTGCAACGATGATCATTTAGTACTGAGAGGTCCAAGGTGTGCCAAGAAAATGTCCCCCACACCATTACACTACCACCACCACCAGCAGCCTGAACCATTGATACAAGGCAGGATGGATCCATGCATTCGTGTTGTTGACGCCAAATTCTGACCCTATCATCTGAATGTCACAGCAGAAATCAAGACTCATCAGACCAGGCAACATTTTTCCAATCTTTTATTGTCTAACTTTGGTGAGCCTGTGTGAATTGTAGCCTCAGGTTCCTGTTCTTAGCTGGCAGGAGTGGCACCCAGTGTGGTCTTCTGCTGCTGTAGCTCATCTGCCTCAAGGTTCGATGTGTTGTGTGTTCAGAGACGCTCTTCTGCACATCTTGGTTGTAACGAGTGGTTATTTGAGTTATTGTTGTCTTTCTATCAGCTCGAACCAGTCTGGCCATCCTCTTCTGACCTCTGGCATCAACAAGAGCTTTTCACCCACAGAACTGCTGCTCACTGGGTGTTTTCCATTTTTCGGCCCAATCTCTGTAAACCCTACAAATGGTTGTGCACAACAACCCCAGAAGATCAGCAGTTTCTGAAGTACTCAGACCCCGTCTGGTACCAACAGTCAAAGTAACTTAAATCACATTTCTTCCACATTCTGAAGCTCTATTTGATCTGCCACAGATCGTCTTGATCATGTCAACATGCCTCCATGTGATCGGCTGATTAATCATGTGTGTTAACGAGCAGTTGAACACATGTACCCAACAAAGTGGCCAGTGAGTGTAGTTTAAACATCATAATGTACACATTTTTATCATTTCTTTCACCAAATGTGTCCTAAACTATAGTACACACAAGATCCCACTGACTTCCACTTTATCTGAGTTCTGGCTTTTTTCTTACAAACTGGAAGTTTTATTTTCTCCTACATGAAACGCCAAATGTACGCTGCAAAAACAGATTTCAGAGAAAGTAAAAAAAATCTTAATTCTTAGTCCAAAAAAAATCTCATTTTCTAGACAAATTCTGTCACATTGCTTAAAAATCAAGTAAAAATTCCTAAATATCCTAATTTTCTTGCTTTTGAGGGGAAAAAAAAGAGTCAGCCAAAGATTGCTTGGTTAAAACTAGCAAAATAATCTCAATTTAGATTTATTTGCTAGTTTAAATAACATTCAAGATTATTTACGTTGTTTTAAGTAATTCTATTTTTCTAGAGAAGTTTTTTTAGACTAAAAATAAGATTAAATGTCCAAAAATTTGATTCTTTACTTTGTTGGAAATCTTTTTTGTTTCCAGTATACAAGTACATTTGAGGCCTTTTGCCTTTTTAGAGTGCGTTTCGATTTTGCACAGTCACTGTTTATGAGACCAAATGACTTCTCTGCATTTCTCATGGAGATTTCAGGTCTACACGTGCACGGTTACCATGGTGATCCTAATGAACCTCTGGCAGCTCAGTTTTTTGGCTGATTCTCAATACACTTAATCAGTTTATACCTGAAAATAGACTTTTTTTTTCATAGAGATGGTTTCCACAAAATATCAACTCTGTCAGGAATTATAGAAAAAAATCTATTTATGTTTGAATGGAGCTGTTTTGGCTCACTTCCAAATTTCTGCCGTAAATTTCAAGTTTATGAATTGCAATCAGGACTTGTCAGTTTTTATCTGTGCAGTAAGTATGAGTAGGTCTGAACAAACTATACCCCAAAAATGACTGTAAAGTAGTTTCCGCTGCCCCCTTGTGAGCGGTCCAACATGCAAAGACGCTCACCTTCTTGTTTCAGTTGCAATTTGGGCATTTTTTTAATATAATAAAATGGTTAGCGTTTTTGCCTCAATGCTCCAACCTCACAAACATGGGAAGGCCTCTCACTAACTAGAGCACAAAACAGAGCCGCAACACACACACACACACACACACTGGCACGCGTTCACCAACTGGAGCAACACTCGACAAGACACCACGTACAAACACATCGCATTCACCAGGATCGGGCTTGAGAGGCTCGGATGTGTATTTTTTTTTCTTTTTTCATTTGCTTGGCTCAGCCTGCAAGAGAAGGGATTTGTGTTGTTTCACTCCAGCTGATATTCCCTCCAGAAGAAGCAGGCAGAACACTCATTTTCACATTTTCAGTGTGGATGGGAGTGACAAACCTCTTGACACTGCCTGCAAAGAGCCTGATTTATTTTTTCCCCTCTTGTTTTAAATTCTTATACCCATATATAACTGGGACATAAGCAGGGAGGTGACACCTTTGCAGCCAGACTTCCAGAATGTTCTTGTATGAATAAGAAAGTGTGTTAGAAATGGCAGATTAGGACTCTAATGAGGGATGGTGCTGGAAAATGTGACCCTCCTTGCATGAAAAGAAAATCCTAATTACCATGCACACAAATGCATATCTGAACCCGGCGTCTTTTCATTCTAACCATTAAAATCCCAAGCTCATTAAGACAGGCTCGCGTATTGCTGTCCCAGGAGTTTAACTCCAAAAACCTACAGCTGCACGACAACATGGAAGCTCTGCTCCTCCCCATCACCTGACCCAGCCAAGAACATTTTCTATACTTGTTCTTTATGCCAACAAGGCTCTTTATCTTGCATAAAAGCAACAACACCTTTATTTTTAACTGCTGTAGAATTGAGATGCAACATTATTTTTCTTCTGAACTTGATTAAATAACCTTGCCGTTTCCAAACCTCGGTCTTGCCTCATTCAAGAAGCGTACCTTTTCCGGCCGCAGCAGCTCCTGTCAGCTTGGTGAGATTCACAGAGCAGCAGACAACAGGAGTGGGCGGCGTAACTGTTTGATCCTAGAAGATTAAAGGGGCGATAGGATTGAGCGGGTCTACCTTAAAGAATCATCTGAAGTAACCAAACACTTGCTCTAATGGCTCGGCTCCTTCAGACCCTCTCAGCTCCGCTCATGTTTGCTCCCTTTAAGACGGTTGAGTCTCATTATCTCATTGTAGGGGCAGCTGTTGAACAGTGCGTGTCAGCAGCACGGTCAATATTCACCATCTTTAGGAATGAATCATCGCAGCAGCTCTCTGCCCATGCTCTGCTGCAGCGCTGCTGGCTATAAGGCTGAACCAGTGTCTCACTGTCATGTACACTTTTTCAGATGACTAATTTGCTCTCTTCTCCTCCCTCCCCCTTCCCCTCCCTCACTCTATTTCTCATTTCGACCCTCTTCTGACTAGATGAGATCTACTCGGAAAGTTTCAGTGTGGCCTGTGGCCTTTGTGGGCGGCCTGCGCTATGAGTCGCCCAAGGTGAATGCAGCCGGGAAGGTCTATGGCTGGAAGACGGTGTTCGACCCCCACCGGCCCTTTGCCATCGACATGGCTGGCTTCGCCATCAACCTGAGGCTCATCCTCTTCAAGCCACAGGCGTATTTTAAGCTCCGTGGGGTGAAGGGAGGCTACCAGGAGAGCAGTTTGCTCCGAGAGCTTGTAACACTCAATGACCTGGAGCCAAAAGCAGCAAACTGCACTAAGGTAATTATTTATTTTAAATGATCATGAATGTTAGACAAGTTGCTAAACTCGTAGTGTCAAGACACAAACTGCTTTCTGTAAAACATCACCACTGGCAACGGGACGGTGTACCAGATGTTTAAGTCTCTCATTCACTTGTTTTGTTTCCAACACATTTGCAGTGGTTTTTGGTGTAAATTAATGTGTTTTGAGTGAATCTCTGTGAGAAAAAAGCTGCGCCGCTCCTGTTTCAGGAAGTAGAACTTAGCCGGAGGACGGGGGGCCAGAAAATAGCAGGGTTTACTCTCACTTCACACATCAGCGGAGCGCAATGGTTTACTAGCAACTTTCACTACGTGCCAATACACACTGGGAGAATCTCAGCCATGGTGCGGCTTCTCTGCCATGCTCCTCAATGCACTGGCGAGATCGCAAAATCCCTCGAGACTTCAAAGGTCATGGTTTGTTTATGTCAACCGCCATTAAACCAAGAAGGAGATCATATTTGATATCATTGTTCGATGTCATATATGATGTTGTCCCTCTCCAATGCCAGGATTAAAGCCATGAAAAACACACTGCTGCACTTCTGGAATGATTCAGAGAGCAAATAGGCTGTTGGGTCACATGTCTTGATGTAACCTACATAGATATTAAATTGCATCGCTGCAATAGTCTTTTATTTTGAAAATTACAGAAGGTTTTACACTGAAACCGTGTGTGATTTCCTATCCAGCCCTATGTTAACTGCAGAAATAGTCGTGTCCCACGAGTGGCTCGGGCACAACAAGATCCAGATCTTATCTCCTGGGACGCGCCTGCACATTTTCATGTCGCGTCTGATTTGAATCACCCTTATAGACTATAATGGAGCTGTGACGATGTGCGCCGCTGATGCTTCCTGCGTCAAGTAGGGGTTAAGAGTCTTACTCGTTATTATTCCTGATATTTGGACATCTCTTCTCTGATTGGATAACAGCAACGCAACTCTACCACTGACGGTTTGCTCTGCAACGTATCTCCAGAAGCCTGTAGGACAAGGCAAGTCAATTCCAGGCTTTGAGGGCCATTATCCAGACCGTTGTAAAGGTTTCTCTAGTCCAACACACTAGATTCAGTGGTTGAATCACCTGTAGCTCATCAGGCTCTGCAGAAGCCTGTTAACCACCTACTAATTGAAATCAGGTGTGTTGAAGCTGGGTTAAAAGCAAAACGTGTTGGATAACAGCTCTTGAGACCCAGAATTGAAAAGCCCTGCTGTAGTTCTACTATGTTGTAGAGTTGCTAATGCTAACGGTTAGCTTCTACTAGTCAAGACGTGCTCTGTTCTCTCCTGGACGCTAAATCAGCAACAGCCTTCCCCAAAGTGAGCTAAGATGGGTGATTCTGTAACTACAGACCAGAAAGAAAACCAGCGCCAGGATGCAACTGTTGGCAATGACTTACAATCATACATGTGAGATAGTCAAAAATGTCTCCAAGGACTTGTGAGGGTTCACGGCTCTTTCAGGTGTTTTGAATGATTTCCCGTGATGAATCTGTCCTTACTTTCTTTGGGAAGGGACTGTTTACTTGTAAATTGTAATAATAGTGAACGCTTAGGAATAGAGTCTACAATCTTGCACAGAAATGAGCAGGAAAAAAAAAATGATTGACTGGTTGGACTGTCGGACATTACCACTGATCAGATTCTGAGCGAGACGAAATTGGATGTAAAATGAAGATAAATGGTTCTGTCACTAAATTCAGAACAGAATATTTTTCTAATGCTTTTATGAGTTTCATTAAAATGTTGTAAATAGTACCGCGGAGTAATTGTCACTAAAGATTTACATGATTTTTCCATTTTGTTCTTAAAAAATGGTTGCAGCCTAGTGAGGTACTGGCTTTTATTTACACATTTCATGTTGTCTTCTGTGATTATTTTAGTCCGATTTGGCATCTGTGCATGCAGTTGTTGCATTCACAAGTTTACAAAACATTTATTTTACAACGGTGGCACAGGAGTTAAGTGCTCGCCCCGGAATCGGAAGGTTGCAGGTTCGAGCCCCGCTCAGTCTGTCGCTGTCGTTGTGTCCTTGGGCAAGACACTTAACCCACGTTGCCTGCTGGTGGTGGTCGGAGGGATTCTTTGGCGCCAGTGCTCGGCAGCCTCGCCTCTGTCAGTGCGCCCCAGGGCAGCTGTGGCTATATCGTAGCTCATCCCCACCAGTGTGTGAATGTGTGTGTGAATGGGTGAATGACTGATTGTGTTGTAAAGTGCCTTGGGGGGTTCCAGGACTCTAGAAGGCGCTATATCAAATACAGGCCATTTACCATTTACAATAAGAAAAATACTTTCTTAAAAAATAAAAAGTTTATATCCGCTTTGCCCTGAAAGCCAGTCTTTTATGCCTCCACAGAGGAAACAAACTATTTGACAGGAAAGAATGATGACTTGACAGGAGAAAAGACAAAACCCTGACAACCTAAGGTCATCAGATGCTTGTTTTTATTTATTATTGTCTGAGAATTTGTTTTGAGTCAACGATTGCTGTCTCTTTCTGTCTGAAGGAGCGTACTGACAAAACAGTCGAGCCTTATAAACCTTTTTCACAAAAACCGGGCGTGCGTCATCAGCGGGAAATCTCTGTTTCTAACTAGTTCAGATTTGAGTCAGCACGGATCGTTTCTACACTACAAGCCCTTCACATTTACCCAATATAAAAATCAAACAAGACACTGAAGACCAGAAGACACAGCAATATGATACTGGGATGTCGAGCTGCCACCCAAGAAAAATAAATTACTTACAGGGATATTGAATTACAACATGATGATCTTACTATTCCAACAATATAATTTTCACATTCTTACAATAAAAAATCACTTTCAAACAACACACGTACAATATTAAATCTATAATAAAATATACGATAATTATGTTGTTCAACTGTGATAAATATCTATTGTTTGAACAATAAACTGATAATGTTGCATTGCTCTAGTTTTATTTTGCATGGGTGGCAGCTCAAAGGGACATAAAACCAAAATATCTGTTGTTTCTGATAAGGTGCTTTGTAGGAGGAAGTGATCATTTATAGTTTCTATGCTGTTTGTTGCCCTTAAAACCATTATTTTCAGCTTTCATCTCTAACCACGCTCTCCTCTGATCCCTGACACCAACAAGACATTTTTATCCACACAGCTGCATATTTTCTCTTTTTCAGAACATTCACTGAAAACCTTAGTTGGTGAAAATCCCAGTAGGTCAAGCACTTCTGAAATCCTGGGACCAGCCCATCTCACACCAACAACCATGATGCATTTTCAGCCTTTCAGATACTCGGTTTGAGCCTCTCCTTCGTCTTTAGCGTAGATGTCTGAGTGCATTGAGCTACTTGAGTCAACAAGGTGTACCCAATAAAGTGGCCGGTGAGTGTATATCAGATGAGAAACACGTGAGTTTAATAACACAGACTCCGCGAGAGCCGTCAGTTACAGTTGCTATGTTGCCAAGAATGTAGCCATCACTGATTATATTTCTCACGCGTGCCCACATCCTCACATTACCACTTGGCAGCAGAGTTCTCTCCATCCCAGTTCCACCACTCCTGCTTACAGCTGTCGGTCTGGTTTAGCTCACTAAGCCTCTCTCTGGGCAGGGAAGAGTCGGCCAGAGGGCTTCAGTGAGCCAATACCCTCACCAAATGCACCCTTACATACAGAGATGGAGGGAGACAAAGAGGTAGACGAGAAGAAAAGGAAGGGGAAGAGAAGTGCTTTCAGACAGGTTTTTTATTCCCCCCCCCCCCCCCCTCCTTCCTGCCACTCATGAGGCTAAATGAAAAGAATGGATTCAGGGAACGGCTCACAGAAGTGAATTGGACTTAGTGGGGGGAGGCAGAGACGTCACGCTGATTGCAGAGGAGCACAGGAACAGACAGAAGGGGGTGAGAGGACGGAAAAGGGAAAACAACATAAAAAGTCGTGTATATGAATCTTTTTACCTTATAATCTACCACCTTATGTGTGACTTTTAACCCCCCATCACCTTTACACCTTAGTAAAGTGGGAGTGGGCTCCTGGCACACATCATGAATAATTCATCACTGCTGCCAAGGCGAGATGAAAGGAGGGAGGGTACGGAGGGAAATGAACCTGACACTTTTAGTTTGTTTCCCTTTCGCTATTCTCCTCACCATCGTTTTTCTTCGTGTTTGTTCTGTCTCAGGAGCCAAACAACGCCAGCACGACGGCTTTACAGAACACCAGAGTACAGAGCAATAACACAACCTTACACATGTGTACGTACAAGAATGGAGGCAGGCTGAAAGGGGCAGAGTAGAGTTTGAAAGAAAACAACTCCTGCGTTCCCTCTTTGCGCTCCTTTAATGCAGGGTTCATGCTCAAGCAGCTCTTTACACTCAGACGGGCCCCATGGTGGTGAGTGTACCGTTGGAGACGCATCCGGAATCGGCCGTTCTCAGGAGCACGGTGGTGGGAGGAGGGGTAGATGGAGAAGATACTGAATGAGTGCATTAAGGGAACAGCATGTCGCTAATGTTTCTGTTGTTTGTGTTTCTATGCTGTTTTTTTTTAAACCAGATCCTCGTTTGGCACACGAGAACAGAGAAGCCTGTCCTTGTAAACGAGGGGAAGAAAGGTTTCACGGACCCTAACGTGGAGATTTGACCATTTCTCCCACAAAATATGGTGAATAATAATAATAATTGTGAGCTTAATGAACAGAATCCTTCATATATGAACAAGTGTAATGAATTTATTTGAAGGATTGTCATTTGGATCTAGTTAGATCCTAAAGAGAGCAGGTGCTGTTAACACTTCCTAAGGAATTGTACAGTAGTTTTCAATTTTTCTATGTCGAGGCTCAATTACAGCAGCTGTTGTCCATTATTAAATGTCACCGAGGTAATAAACGGGTTTAATGAGCTTAAATTGGGCCTTAATGCTCTCTCTAAGCCTGTTTTAATCCTTTCTATTGCAGGTGTTTGGCCTTGGATTTGCAGGGAGGTTACGGAGCTCCTTGAGAAGTGCAATCATTGTCTTGATGAAAAGATGGAAAAAATACACGAATGGAAAGGATTGGATCCAAGATTTTATTCCCTTTGTATCAATTCCCAAACATGGACCAAAACTGTACGTAAATGTCACGTGAAAGCACAGACGAGTCAGAGGAGGCAGTCGTTTGTCGGTTCTGCTGATGAAGAGCAGAGGGAGGGGGGGCAACATCATGGATCCCTGCAACCCCACGGAACAATGAACCTCCACAGGAACAGACAGCACAACACGAACAGCAAACAGCCGGCATAGGCGGGCAAACAAGCTGGTTCAAAAGTTTATTTTACCTAAAAATGTTTTAAAAGGATCTGCACATGGAAAATTCCAGTAAGGGATGAAATCGGCAGCACTGGATTAAAACGAGGACAAAGACGTCTCAACGATTTTCCTCTGAGCAAAGGCAACAAAGGAGGGAACTTTTTTTTTTTTGATAACTGAAACGTTTGCTGTAATTCAACAGGTTTTATGAACACTTGACCTGCTAGCTCAGTAGTACTGACTCTTACCTGCATTTACCGTTAGGTTATTATTCTCCATCCACGTCATTAAAACTCATGCATTCACAGTAACTCATCCACACACTGAAAGACCCCTTGTGCTTGAAAAAAGCTGAGCTCAAACACACTCAAAACAATTAAATCTTAACTCTCTTCATAGCACTTACAAACCACACGGATTTCCCTTTGTGGTAATGTGTATAAACTGTATGAGATTTATCAGAGGAATGAAGATTTATAAAAAGTGCACTGTAACTACTGTATCTGTGTGTGAATGCAAAACAAATATATTTTTTTCCTAACTAATTTATCAGATTGACACAACAACTTAAGATCAGAGTCAGGAAATCTGATCCCCCATGGTGGTTCTCAGTCTTTATTTTCTTATGTGTTTTAGTGAGTGAATATTTATTGTTGTCTATGAACTTTCAAACCATTATCAGACACAGTTGGGGTCACACCCTCATGATGAGGTGTGGAATGCCATCAATCTGCGGTCTTTAATGATTGATTTGAACCAACTCCCTCAATGTTTTATAAAAACAAGAATTACATGCACACTTTTGAATTTGGAGTGGAAAATATACATAAGTTCAAATGTATTATGAGATGATTTAATTGACTGCACTTGGTTTTATAGAGACTCATCTGTCAACCACAAATGAAATTAGGATGTACAAGAACAGCCTGACAACACCCAGTTCTTCAGTCCATCTTAGGCTGGAAACCACCAGTACCAGTGTGGCTGTCCACACTGAAGCCTGTTTTACTAAATAATGGACTGAGAGAGTACCAACAAAGAAAGAAGCTTCTGCTTCAAACGCAGAAAAGGTTTGATGGTCAGGCAGAACAAAGATTGAGCTCTTTTGACAAAATGACAAGAGGCATTTGGAGAAGTCTGATTGACGCTGTACTGATTGTAAAGCATGGTGGCGACAGTGTCATGCACGTTGGATGAGATCAGAAATAAGAAATTGGACTACCTTTTTTTTTTTTTTTTCAAATTCCCCCCAAATCACTGGCTACATGGTTTAACCTAAGTCACATTCCAAATGAACAGTGACCCCAAACACACATCAGCACTAGGTTCTGATTGGATAAAGCAGGCAAATGTTAAGATTCTGGAATGAAATTCTGACATTCTTGACCCTGTTGAGTATTTATGGACTAAATATAAAACTGTGGTCGGTGCAGAAAACCAACTACTTTAAGCAAATTGAACAAATTGTCCTGGTGGAAATATCCGGCCAGAACGGCACCAGAAGCGTGTAAAAACACTGTAGTCAAGGTGCAACTTGGCCAGTTTTAATATTATACATATGATCAACAATAAATTCAACCTTGTGATCACAATGCTTGGTTTTAAATATCACTGAAGTGGAATGTTGTGTAATTGTGCATTTGAACAACAATTCAAATCAGTTATTAAAAGTCCCAAATTAATGAGTGTGTGTAAACTTCTGACCTTTTTCACGCTGATAGAAAAGAACATATCAATTGATATTAAAACACTCAAATGACATATAAAGTGCAACACCTGTGGCAAACTGCTCACTTATTGATCAGATAATATATATTTAACTTAAGTTGATGCACGCTAAAGAAGAGCAGAACAAAATGCCACAGAGGTAATGGCAGCCCAGTGGCGTTAGTACTGATAGAGCCCCAAGTCTGCAGAGGAGATCCAACGATAGGCATCAGGAGCGATGAAACAGTACAGCTGAGCACTTTTACAAAGTTGTTCCACGCCTCACTGTACGATAACACAGTCTCTCCTCTGCTTGACAAATCGGCCATCTGTAATACACAGTGGTGGTCTTTTTCTAATACCGTCTTGCTGTCGTAGCTTGAGATAATTTAAACATTAAGCCTCAGTAAGATATCTGTGCAGCATACTTGCCCCACCCCAACACACACACACACACACACACACACACACACACACACACACACACACACACACACGCTCCACCTAGCATTAACTGCTGCAGAGATGCTACAGCCACTCAGGCTCATCAGCCAGAGAAACCCACATTATTACAATCTTCCACTTGAGACTGATCACATGCAGACTGCTGAGGCTGCTTTCACTCACCACATGATATTTACACTGAGCTGGGAAATCACCAGCTATCATATCCTTCCATTATTTATTAAGCATCAAAAAGGTTTAATATATTTATTTATGTATTTATTTCATGTCTGGATGTGCACTTAAACTCCAGCAGCTGCTCTCTGAAACAGCATGCTCACACGCTCGGTACGCTGCACACGGATCATTGTGTCGATCGGCGATAGGTTAGTGCTACCAGCGAGCGCAAAACACCTGCAGTAGGTACATCTGTGTGCGTTCTTTCTGAGTGGTTCTTCTTAATGAAAGAATCCACCTGAAATAGTTTAGCACTGAAACGATCTAACAGGTATATAATTTAGAAACATGGCAATGTTTCTAAAATATATATATACAAAAAAAGCATTTTTTCTTGTCATGGTGCAGATACACTCCTGTCACTATGATGTACAGATCTGCACGAGGGGGGTTAGACTGGCACAGGGAAGTGTAAACAGTATTCAAAGGGCTTACCCTTGAACAAGACGTTTCACTTTACAGCTGATCTAAATAGTTAATCTAAATAAAGCAATATCTTATAAGGTCGACCAGAGAAAGCCTTCTTGTGGCATAGATCCACCTTGGAGTTTCATGTCTGCTTAATGAGCCACCCCCTCCAGGGGCGCTCCAGTAAGGCACAACACTACACATAAATTATCTTTTTCCCCATCTCCACACTCATCTTCCACCCTCATGTGATTCACTTTTGATGCATGTGACTCTTACGGTTGTTTATTTGCCACAGCAAATCTGTCTGAGGAGAAAAAAAATGTTAGTTGAAGCAAGATAAATAAATAACTGAGAAGAATCTTGTGTATAGCTGTGATTTGTTGTGTCCTCAGAATGTTTATACACAGCTGTCACACACTTAGGCTGCAGGTATGCATCATTAAAGTCTTGCAGAATAATTTGCTGATTGTTACAGAAATTAATGAACCTATGTCACGTAGGGAACATTATGCAGAAGCAGCAATCCTTCAATGTAGCAATTAAACCAAGATGTAGAGAGAATATTTGCCCTTGTGAGGTTACTGTGGGAAATATGTCAGAATTTTTGATAAGTCTCTTAGTTCAAGGTTTTGGGAAAACAAAATAAAGCCCTCCTGAATCCATCCATCCGTTTTCGTCTGCTAATCCAGGGTTGAGTCACAGGGGCAGTAGCCTAAGCAGGGAGGCCCAGATTTCCCTCTCCCCAGCCACTTGGGCCAGCTCCTTTAGGGGAAATCTAAGGCATTCCCTGACCGGCCATGAGACATAATCTTTCCAGCGTGTCCTGGGTCTTCCTTTAGGTCTTCTCCCGGTTGGACGTGCCCGGAAAAACTCACCAGAGAGGTGTTCCTGAGGCATCCTAACTAGATGCCTGAGCCACCTCAACTGGCTCCTCTCGATGTGGAGGAGCAGCGGGTCTACTCCGAGCCCCTCCTGGATGTTTATGTTTATTTATTTGGCAGATGCTTTTATCCAAAGCGACTTACAATTTATAACCTATAGGGCATGTTGTGATCTGTGGGGGAAACCGGAGTACCCAGAGGAAACCCACGCATGCATGGGGAGAACACACAACTCCGCTCAAAAAGGCTGCAGCCGAGTTTCAAACCTGCAACCTTCGTGCTGCGAGGCAACAGTGCTAACAACTGCGCCACCATGACTGATCTCACCCTATATCTAAGGGGCTCGACACACGGGGGGCGACAAACGACCGTGATCGGCGAAATTCGTCGCTGTCGCTTTTATTACCCGACACACGGGAGGCGACCCGCGCCAGCGGCAAAGCCGTCTACGCGTTCTGTTTCATGGCAAAATAGAAACTTCCGTTGTTTTGTTTGGCTGTGTCAGGTTGGAGGGAATTAAGGTTATTTAAGTGGTTCAGAGTTAATAAGGTGGTAGATATGATGTTTCACAAGGTGCTGCTAGAGTTATGTGAAATCTTACTTCTGATTTTACTATATAAAACATAATAATAACCAACTTCTCCTCCATGTTTGCTCGGAGATGTACGGAGCATCCTGTCCGCTCATTGGTCAGTGAATGAAACCTCCGTTGATTGGTCCTCGTCCGAGCGACAGCTTTCTGGGATCGCGTCGCTGGGTCGCCTGTGCACGACACGTGCACGAGTGCAAAATTTCAAACTCACATTTTTTGCGTTTCGCTTAGTAGGAGGGAGACCCGCGATTATTGCTTTATGTCTCATTGAAAATGAATGGAGGAGAGGCGATGTCGCCTCCCGTGTGTCAAGCCCATAAGGGAGAGCTCAGCCACCCTGCGGAGAAAACTCATTCTGGCCGATTGTATCCGCAATCTCATTCTTTCGGTCACTACCAAAGCTCATACCCACAGACCCCGAGATACTCATCCCTGACATGGAGAAGGCATTCTACCCCTTTCCCACTCTAAACCATGGTCTCGGATTTAAGGGAACTGATTCTCACCCCAGCTGCTTCACACTCGGCTGCAAACCACTCCAGTGAGAACCACCGATCACGTTCTGATGAAGCCAACAGGACCACATCATCTGCAAAAAAGCAGGGACTCAGTCCTTAGGCCACCAAAATAAATCCCCTCAACATCTTGGCTTCACCTAGAGATCCTGTCCATAAAGGTTGTGAACAGAATCGGTGACAGAGCAGCCGGAAACGAGCCTGACTTACTGCCAGCGACTAGGGTTGCAAGGATTAACCGGTTTGACTATTAACCACGGCGTGAAATGCTGCGGTTAACCCACTGCATGTCTTAAACACCGTAAATTTTAAAAAGACATTAGCGAACCAAAACGAAAGTGAAAGTGAAAGAATGCATGCAGCCGAACCAGCGTCAACAACCTCTTGGGACCACATAGGTCAATGCACGTTTGCGAACTATGGACCTCGTACATCACCGCGTGCTCCATAAACTGAACTGTATGGCCGACGGTGAGATGCCTTTGTGTCCCCTCGTGGAGTTAACCGCCCACCGACCTTCCTCCTTCTACACTACTACCTCTCGCATGGACGACATCTTCATTGCGTACCACCTGCGTGAGTGGCTTCTTCTCGTTATGCGCGTTGGGGACTATCCCATTTCCTATCCTCTTTTGTTTTGTGCCTGACCAGGATCCAAGACAAAGACAAAGACCAAAGGCGCCAGGATCCAAGACAAAGACCAAAGACAAAGGCGTCCAAGGAGACCAACGTCCTAAGGGACAAACCCACCTGTGCTTCCGACAATCAAGTCGACCTACGTTCATGAGGAACAAACCCATCTGTGCTTCCGACGATCGAGCTTTGGGCGCGATCCCCGAAACCAAAAGGGGGAATGTTGAGGGTCTGACCTCATGAGGAAATTACTATGCAGTGATTTTCTCCAAAATGACTGTGCTTAAATTGCTCTGAAAAGCAAATAATCACATCAGCGCCAAGAAACTTCATTTCCCATGATGCTTTGCACACGGAAGCATTGTGATGACGTCACCGCCTAATACCAGAAACACGATCTGCGGGAGGCGGGAGCTTGGACAGCTTTCCCGCGACTTCAAAGACTATAAATCATGAATGAGACAAAGAAACCTCGTTCTTTTGCCCAGGATACCTGGCGGTAAGGACACGCTTGTCGAACGCTCCGACAACTTGAGCACGCGGAAGCTCTAAGTGCCCAAGTTGAGCCACGAAACCGCTACAAAGCCACTCGAACTCCATCAGGACCTGACTGGGAACGAGCGGAGCTCCATCCAGCTCTCAGAGACGCTGTAAGTTGTCAAACTCAGCACAAAAGAAACTTCGTTCTCTTTGTGTCCAGCCTGTGGAGAAACACTCGTGGAGGTAAACAACGGAGAAAGCATCAAACCGACGGATGACGCCAAACTGCGGAGAAATACGGAGAACCGTCAAATCAAAACAGTGAGGGACGCTTCACTGTTCTGGTGATCAGAAAACTCATTTCTCTCTCTCCTTTTCTTCTCCCGTTTCCTCTATAGTCCAGAATAAGCAATAAAACCGCGCTATTGCTTAAAAGTAGCTTCGTGTCTTCCTCTTTCGCTCCCAAAACACGTCCGCCGGGTCATTTTGAATAAATAAACTGCTTATTGATCATTGTTTGGTATCTTTAAATGTTTTCTGCTTGGCCACGTGGTTAAACTAAAAGATATTATTCGTGATTAATCCTTTGTGTTGTTTCATGATCCTTTGAAATGTTTTGAGTGATTTAAGGTTAAGTTACTGATGATTCTAAGTGCCTTGGAAGTTAAAGTGCAAGTTGCCACTCACACTTTAGCCAGACAAAGGGGTCAGCCATCTTGCATACAGACTCCATTTTAGAAACACACACACATACATACACACAAAACACCTTGAACATTATTTTGAATATACATCCTTTTATTATATCACATGGTTATTATTCATCTATGCCACTGTTTATTCATTTGACAAATTGTTAATTAAACGTTATAAAATTCAGATTTTCGTCTCCAGTAGCTTTGTTGTGTCGAAGAGAAGTCTCTGCTCCAAGGATTCTACGAACTTCAAGAAAGACTGATAAGAGTTTTGGATTCAATTTTTTCCCGGTTAAAGGGGAATGGTGCCCCGTATATCTAAGAATATCTTAATTAATTAATAAATCAGTAAATATTCCCATATTTACAGAATTTATTGAAGAATCCAAAAGTAAGTTAAAGCTTACGAATTGTTCGCTCCTAATAACCCCAACATTAATTGGTGCAGCCGGTGTGAGGCTAGGATACACAGAGATTTCTATCCGGCACAAACAAACAAATAAATCCAAAGAGCCTGAATTAAAAATAATCAGTTGTTCAGCCTTGAACCAGCAACAGAGTGGTGCTGATTTCGCTGAGCAGGAAGCTGCATCGAACTCTCACCAGTAACTCAGTGCTTCTTTAAAGGTGCAACGTGTAAATTAATTCTGGTTGACCTTTTAGGTTAAAAATTCAGTTTTTCCTTAAAGGTGCAACGTGTAATTAATTCTGGCTAACCTTTTAGGTTAAAATTCAGTTTTTCCTTAAAGGTGCAACGTGTAATTAATTCTGGTTAACCTTTTAGGTTAAAATTCAGTTCTTCATTAAAGGTGCAGTATGTAAGTAATTCTGACTAACCCTTTTAGGCTAAAATTAACTGCTAATTTAGCGACTTTAACTCACAGTGGCTATTATAACTAACTGAAACCTTCACTCAAAGACTGATAACACCCTGTTTGCTAATATTCTGAAGGAATAACTAGCATATTTAACACCACAAGTGTTGTAAGACATTGCTACGGCAACGCACCAGCTTTTGCTAAAATACTGAAAGGAAGAGTATTTTAAGCGTCAGTCACGGCATTCCGTGCAATCTTAAAACGCTAAAACCTGTGCGCACAAAGGTTAATTTAGTGTTTTTCTGCTACAAAGCTAGCAGTTGCTGCCCAAAAGGTGCAGCTTGAGCTATCTGCAGAAGCTCTACTAGGCTATTTTGGTTCGGTTGTTAAAATGGAGGGACAGAGTAGTGAACTGACCAACTCCCAGCAACCAGGTGGCGCTGCGGCCCACAAATGTGAACCTGGCCTACTTTCTGGACAAATATTGTCCAAACTGGTCGCGGTTGCTCGAGAACCCGACTACCCTTCTAGGGATTTCACTGAAGAACAGCGTAGCGACGAGCTAGAAGCTGTAATTGATCAAATAGAAAACCCGGATGGTACAAAACCAATCCAGGTTCACTTAGCTAAGTTAGCCTTGATCCTCTATCAGAGAGAACTCCAACATGATCGAGAGATCATGAAGCTCCAGAGCATGCTAGCTGAAAGGCAGCAAAATGGAAGGCAGAAGGATGACGAGGAGGA